TCACAAAACCATCGTCCTGCATGTTCATGTCTTCACTACTCCCCCAACTGAGCTTGCCAGACAGACATAGCTCCAGTCATCCAGACCAATCGTAACACCAAGCAAAGTCAAACAAACTGAAGGAGAAAAGTCTACCTTAAAAAAGATGTTAAATGTTGCGATTGTTGTTGTATGTTGTCTAGTCAATTCCGGGACCTGGTGATCCTATGTGACAGAGGGGATCCACCCGATAGGCTTTTGTTGGTTGTAGTCTTCACAGAAGAGAAAGTGGTTCTTTCTCTTGCAAAGTTAGGTTCAAACTGCCAACCTTTCCATTAGTAGCCAATTGTGAAATCATTTTGCAACACCAGGGCTCCTTAGATGTCATAGAATACATTCCAAAATGAAATATGTTTATCTTATTTAATATTGGGAGTTCTGTGTTTTCCCTTCCCTGGGTTAACTGAGATAATTGAGAATTTATTTTATTTTTGGCATCAATTACAAGCACTGAAATGAATCCTTGAAGGGTGCATTTGGGAGCTCAATTGTCAAAGGGGCATAAGAGAAGGCTGAGCTGGGCGTTGGAGTCTTTCCCACCACACAAGCTATCTGAAGCCCTGCTGGTAATTAGGCTGTTACGGTTCTTGTGTGCTTAAGATATTTTGATATATGAAATAAATGGCAATAATAGGCTCCAGGAGATACCTCCCTGGAGAACACCTGAGGAACTCATCAGCAAGGTACTGGGAAAGTAGGGAGGGATGGCAATCGGAGCCAGGAAGAGATTGGTAAATGGGTCAGGAGTTGAAGACAGTCTCTTTCCAGATTGGAAACAAGGGCTTGGGGACACAATTAAGGACTGGGAGTTGTTGGAAGTAACTGAAATAGGATAGAATATTGGCCCTGACCACTTGGGGGAGAAGACTAAAAAGCCAGTTTACAGTGAAAAAAAGACAGGCTTTCTGGAATAGTTGAACAAGCCTACAACTCACCAGTGAATGTGCTTCAGAACAGACACAAGACAGGAGAGATGAGAAGGTTTCCAAGGGCCAAGTGGTTGAGACCACTAGTAGGGGCAAAAGAGGATATCAAACAGACCCACCAAGTGTCCCAGGGGATGGAATAACCATCAGGTGAAAGCTGTCCACCCAGGGGGCCTGGGACTGAGGCAGAACACACAAGGTCTTGGTGGTTGCAGATCTCAAATTTTGGCAGTAAGTGAGACTGGGTCTACCTTCAGGGAGAGGACAAGCAGGGTTTGAAGGGACTGAGAAGAGTATTGTTGTTGTTGTTGTTGTTGTTGTTGTTAAGTACGGTCAAGTCAGTTCAATTCTGACTAATTTCTAACCTGTACAGGGTTTCCAAGGAGCAATTGGTGGGTTTGAACCATCAACATTGTGGTTAGCAGTTCAGTGCTGACCAAGCAAATGGAGAAGGTGCCCTATTCACACCGACCCAGCCATTAAAAAGCATTGTGCCAAGCATCTGCTATGTATAGACAGGCAACGATCCTAGTGATGGTGCCAACTGCAAGTTCAGGTCAAAGTCAAAGTAGCCATAGCCAGCATTCAGTTCAGCAGTCAGGGTAGAGGGGAAAAGAGTTTGCTTTCCCATTATTTATCTGAGGTTAAAGAAGACACTACTGTATTAATTTTCTAAGACTTCTGTAACAAAAGTACCACAAACTGGGTGCCTTAAAACAACAGAAATACATTGTCTAATAGTTGTGGAGGCTAGAAGTTTGAAATCAAGTGCTGGCAGGGCTGTGCTGTCTCTAAAGGGTCTATAGAAGGCCCTTCCTTGTCTCTTCCTAAGTTTCTAATGGTTCCTTGAAGTTCCTGCTTTGTTTTGACTTGTAGTTGTATCACTCCAATCTCTGCCTTCATCCCCACATGGCCACCTTCTCCCTGTAGCTCTCTCTTCTCTTATTTATTTATTTATTTTTTAAATAAGGACACCACTCAGATGGGATTAGGGCCCACTCTACTCCAGTGTAACCGTATGTTAGGTAACAGCATCTTCAAAAGCCCTATTTCCAAACAAGGTCACATTCACAAGTACTGAGGGTTAAGGCAGAACGTCTTTTGGGGGAACACAATTTAATCCACAACAGCTCCTAAACAATTCCTTTCTCGCTCATTTGCTTTTACTTCCAGAGGCTAAGCATTCGGATGCACAAGGAAGGGAAAATCAACTTGTCTATTTCCAGGTATGGGGTGAGGAAGCCTATAGCATAGACTGTCAAAGGGAGAGGACTCCTCTCCCCAAACGAGCATCCTTCCCTTTCTCTTTGCCTTTACTTTGTGGAGGAATCTCCTTACTTACTCAAGAAAGTAAGGGTGAGGTCAAACTGTCCTCCCCAGACCCAGACTTGCCCCCACTTGATCTACATGATGCATGCCGAAGGAAATGGGTGGTCTCCCCAGTGGCAATTTAGCACTGGTGTTTGCTATGAAAAGTTCTGTTAATTTCTAAGACAGTGTTTAATTGAGCTAGAAGGAAACACTTCGTTTATGAAATCTCAGTGTGCCTAGCAGAATGCCTGGCATATAGAACTCACTGGGGTGGTATTTCTTGAACAGGGAATCAGGACATCCTGAGACTGTAATAAAAAGGTAGTTTCTGATACACACTACCATGTATGGATAAACTTTGAAAACATTATGTGGAGTGAAATAAGTCAATCACAAAGGGACTAAACTTATATGAAATGTCAAGCATAGACCAGAGTATAGAGACCAATTGTTACCAGGACACCTGATGTAGCGCTGTAGGAGCAGCACTGGATCGCAAACCACAAGGCCAGCAGTTCAAACCCATCAGTTGCTCCTCGGAAACCTTATACAGGGTTGCTATGATTCAGAACCAACTCAAAAGCACTTAACAACAACAACAACCAGGAGCAGGTTAGAGGGAAAGGAAAAGGGAGTCACGATGCTGAGGGGACACTGAGCTTCTGTTAAGAGTGGATGGAACAATATGATGAATAAGATTGTTGAACTGGCGAATGCTGCCTTACATTTACATTTACCACAATAAAATAAAAATGAAAAAACAGAAAAATCAATGACTCTGAAGAGGCCCTGATTCTAGAGTGAAAAGGAAAAGGGCACTGAAGATAGCCCAGGAGCATTTGAAAATCAGCTTTAACCCTTATCAGCTATGTGACTATGGGAAATGAATTGAACCTCTCTAAGTCTCAGTGTCAGCTTCTTTCAGGAGCATATAATTGTCCAGACTCTGCAGGGTTGCTGCAAAGACTGAAAGAGATCATGATATATGCAGAGACCAACGGTATATACACTCAGGACACATAGTAGGTTTCCACATACTGTTGTGCTAATGATAAAATGTAATGGGCAGGTGGCCCCTGAGACTCCCATTGTTCTCCCCTCAAGTAACCCCATTTTAAGTCTCCCCATGTTCAGACAAAACTGTTCAGAGGCATCATGCTGGTGTCATGAGTCCCATCAATGGGCACTTGAGGGCCAGTACATCAGCAGGATGACCAGGGGCTCCTGGTCGTGGACAAGATCTCCTTCAGGAAGGTGAAGGAATGGCCAGGATCAGCCTGGAAGAAGCAATGGGGCCTCCTTCTCCTGGCATGTGCAGCCACCTCCACTGTTCTCCACAATATCCCACCCTATGAGAAGCCCACACCTACCCCGTGTGATGAAAGAGGAAAGGTCAAATGATGAGATGCATCCTGGTTGAGCAGCTATTTGACAAAGGTTGTGTGGGGTGGAAGACGGGAGTAGACAAAGGTAATGGGCATGTCTTCATCAAAACTTGTCTGTACAAATGGACGGCCACACCCCTCGTGGTTCCCCACCCCAGTATGTCAGATTGACAAATGTCACCACTTTAAAGGTCCCATCACCTACTCAGTCATTCCCAATAAACACCCGCAGGACTATGGAGGAACTGCCATCACCGCCACGGGGTTTCAGCCAGGGAAAAATCAAATCTCCATGATGCCACCAACTGAATTGTCAAAAACCAATAAAAAGCTTCATGAATTCCCCATCAGCAATATAACGCTTCCTGGCCTAAGCAAACATAGACCCAGCATATGAATTGTGACAGGATTTTGCATTAGCCTCAAACAGCTTCCAACAGCTAAAGCAGAAACCCCTAAAAAATACATGCCTCTATAAAGCTGCCTTTATTGGCTCTAATCCTGTTAAGGTGAAGACTCCAATCTCCTTCCTGAGCCCCGTTCTTCTGATGAAAAGCTTCACATCCCAGCCCCATAAATGCACTTCTGTGACCTCAGCTGGAGAGACAGTCTCGGAGAGATGGAAGAGACAGAGTCACCGGTGACCTCGCAGAGTGCCTCTCCCACCCTCTGATGATGTTGCTGCTTCGGTCTGACCACATGATCCATTCAGACCATCTCATAATTGCCCAGGTATGCCAGGTCATTCAATCTCACACACTCAGGCTGAGAAAGCAAGACCGGGACTCCTTCAGTGAGAAAAAAACAAATCAAGTGCCTCACATCTTAGAAAACCCAAGTTCAAAGTCACTCAGATAAAGTCTGCCCAGAGCTACTGAACCCTTGAGCACCCGTGGTGAGAGAAAACAGCTTGCAAGGAAGAAATACAGGAAGGATCCCAAAACTCTGCTTAGTGTCTTCTGTTAATGGAAATCCACATCCACATGCCAACAGTTACCTTCCCCGCCCCCCACCCGCAGAGATATAAAACACAACCATCACCTATCCCCTAAACACACACACAAAGAAAGCATGACTGAAGAAAGAAATGCTAACTTAAATTTCCAACTTGTACGAAGTGCATGCCCCAGTCCAAAAAGAAAACTTGATTCAAAGCAAGCTACCACTCCAAAACAAATCACTCATGTGCTTTCCTCTTTTAATGATGGACTTCCCTTGCTTCCAAAACTTGGGTAAGGACCTCTGCCCTCCCTCTCCAATTCTGGTGTGGCATGGCCCATCGACAGATTGGGCTAAGACCTCCACTCTTTGTCTAGTCCACACGTGCCGACTTACTTACCCCAGTGTGGTCATGGTGACGATGGTGTACCAAAAGGAGGCAGGGATGCTCGTGAACTTGCTTGCTGAGGAGCCTTTCTCAGCATAAAACATCACAGTGGCAAAGATGATGATGGCCATGGTGAGGGAGAAGAGCAGAAAGCCAAGTTCGGAGGCACAGCTCTTCAGTGTGTAGCCTAAGATCCGCAGGCCCTGGGAGTGGCGCGAGAACTTGAAGATCCTGAAGACGCGGAAGACCCGGAGTGTGACAAAGGCGCCAGACACGTCCTCGTTGTTGGTCATGACCAGACCAATGTAATACGGCATGATGGCCACCACGTCAATGATGCTCATCACACTTCGGATGAACCGGTAGCGGCTGGGCGCCGCAAAAAGCCGGAGGAGGTACTCCACTGTGAAGATCATGACGCAGGCCGTGTCCAGGCAAAAGAAGGCCACCGAGTAGCGCTCTCCACATGGTAGCTCCTTGCTCCCAGGCACTGTGCCACATGGCACGGTCTCCACCACGTTGGTGATGACGGAGACAGCAATGAAGAAGCCAGTCACGTAGTAGAAGACCAAGGCCAGTGTGCTGGTGTGGGGGTTCTCGAAGGCCCGCCACATGGTCTGGCGGAAGCTGAGCGAGGGCATGGACTCCTGGTTGTTCTCCGAGTCGTTGTCGTCCATGAGCCTCTCGGCGTTCTCCCGCTTGCGGTCTTTGTACTCCTCATAGCAGCAGTCTCCGATGATTTCCGGAAGGATACCATAGAAAGCCAGCTCATCATCGTAAGCGGAAATGCACTCGTACCGAGGATAGTGTAACTTTCCTGTGCGGTAGAAGTTGAGGACACAACGGAACACTTCTGGGTCCCGATCAAAGAAGTACTCCTTGGTCTCCTCATTGAAGAAGAATTCCTTCTCTGTGCTGCCCAACAGGGTGTCTGGGTAACGCTCCAGTGTGGTCCGCCAGGTCTGGAATCTCCGCCCACTCACATTGAGGATGATCAATTCATCCTGTCGCTTGTTCTTGTCAGCTGGAGCAAGGGGCATGGGACAGTTCGCCACTGGCATCCACCCAATGGCCGCAGCCCGGGCAAAAGGCAGCCAGGCTGCAACTCCGGCCGCCATGGTGACTCCAGCTCTTAGGCTGGCAACTGTTCAGACACGTTGCACACCAGCGTGGAGTTGGTTCAGTGACCCCTGGGAGACAGGAGGAAAGAGCAGAGAAGAGGGTGAGTCCATGATTGATCTGCAGATGGGAAATGAGACACAGAAAGTGGTCACTGGCAAAAGGTCTCAATGGTGAAATCATTAAACTGAAAAATCACCACCCCAAAGCAAACACTTGGTTCCATTTCCATCCTTGCTACTCAGAGACAGTACCTCGCAGGAGCCAGGGTACGCAATGAGGGATCACCAGATGTTGTTGACTTCCTGACAAATTGTCAAGCTCCAAGAGGGCTCTGGAGCATTTGGAGGGAAAGCCTCTTTAGCAGGAAGATCTGGGAAGGCGCAGGTAATAATCAGCTCTGAAAGGTTAGGGCGTTATTACGAATTTAAATTGGGAGAGGGTAAATGAGTTCTCATTAAACGAATTTAAAAGTGGGATAAACATGCTAATTTTTATTTCTCTCTTCACCCACCAGGGCAATCAGGGATGGGGTATGGATGAAGACTATCAGGTAAACATGTTCTTTCTACTCTCTTCCTCAATGGTGAAGAGGAAGCTGGGGCTGCCCATTCTAGAAAATTCTCTGCGATGGAAAGTGACGGCAGGTGGGCTAAGCTTGTTGATGCTCTGTACATGGAGGGAGCACCAACCCAACTCCCATGGAGAAGGTTATCTTTGGTGCAGTGTTAACCCATGGGACACTCAGCCCCCACTCCTTGACCTGGCAACCTAGTGTCCAAATTGCAACACTCCAGGCCAAGATGGGAAGATATGGGAGGGTCCTTCCCCCATCTCTGTAAAGAGAGTATTGGTTTTCCTTGGTTCACCTGAGTTCCACACATTGTCTTTCCCTTCCCTAGAGGGAGCCAATCCAGGCTCTACCCCATCTTCAGATCCTCAACTCCTGTCACCATCTGCCCCCATTTGTAGCTCCCTTGGGTTATGTAGCAATACTTTTTTGCCTTCCTATGTCTGCCTCTCTCACTTGACCCCCCACTCCACTATCAGAGATTCCTCCAGAGTTGGACCACCTTCTCCCTTATGCCCACCTCTTTAAACGGTGTATATCCTTTTCCATCATCAGAGTGCATGGAGAGAACAACGGCATGGAGAAATACATTTAGCTTAAAGGAACAGATTTACCGTCCCAAATCTGGCTTTTTAAAGATGATAGTCAAATGACTTTGCAGTACTTGAATGTATACCATCTGGGGGAAGACGTGTGCTGACTCAGAAACACATGCAACAGCAATAGCAATTGGTTTGGGGTTGACACAGTCTTTCCCACCAATCCTGAACTGATCCCCCCAGAATAAGTCCTAACTCAGAATTACACAGACCTTCTGGAATTCAGACTCTAAATAAATGAGGTAAAGGTAGGTATTGAAATATTTTTGTCTATAACACAAAGATTTGTTGCAGTGGGATTTGGACTTCATCCCTCACTGTAAACTCCCGCATCTTCTTTTAAGTCCCAACGTCTCTAGGTTTTCAAAATCTCTACCACTAGTCCCTGACTTTGAAACTGGACATGTTTAAATGAAACCTGCCTCCTCACAAGGAGCTGCTTTTTACCTCCTGCTCATGGCATTCCTGACCCCAAGTCTGTCACCTTGGGCATCTTCCTCATTGTTCTACCCAAAGAGTTGCCAATTAATGAGACAATGTATCCTACCATCCTCATTAAAGCCTAGGTTCCCTGTAGCATCCTTCCAACTAGCCTTCTGGTCCCTTATCTACCCCACCCCATTTCTCCTGTCCCACTGTAATCCATTCTGCTCAGAGTAATCTCTCTACAGAAAGTTCTGATTGTGTGCCCCCACCCTCACCCAGCTTACAAAATAAAATCCAAACTCCTTGGCCTGGCATTCTAGCATTTCCACAAATGGATCTTGGCTTACCATTCCAGTCTAATGTCCCATGCATATATCTCAGCCCACAGTCATAAGACTACACGCTGGCTCATGCACAGAACCTGTGAATGTCTATCTCTTCATTCTATCTAGAATATTCTTCCCTTTCACTCCTTCTATCTGAATCCTACTGTTCACCAAGATGCCTCCTTCTCTCCCGACTATGGGCTTCTTTCTCTCCTTCCTTTGGGCTCTTGGCACTTGGCTTGCCCTTCTCCTCTAGCACCTATCACCCTCCGTCCTGGAGTGTTGTTGTTGTGGTAGCTGCTGTTGAGTTCCATGTACAATAGAACAAACTGTGGCCCTTCGTCATGTGATTTGTTACTGAAAGGACTGATGTGATCCAGAGGGCTTTCACTGGCTAATTCAGACCTTTATTCCTAGTCTTCCTGAATCTGAAAGCTCTACTGAAACTTGTTCAACATCATAATTAGTTATGTGCCACATGAAGTCAGTTCCGACTCAGCATACGGTTTCCAAGGCTGTAAATCTTTACGGGAGCAGAAAGCCTCATCTTTCTCCCATGGAACAGCTGGTAGTTTCGAACTGCTGACCTTGAAGTTAGCAGCCTGAAATGTAACCACTATGCTACCAGAGCTCCTGGTTCAACATCATAGCAGTGCACAAAAATCCAAGGAGAGATGGGTAGTGGCTGGATATGAGGTATATTGACCAGGATTACAGATACTTTGTTGTTGTTGTTGTTGCTGTTGTTAAGTGCTGTTGAGTCCATTCCGACCCATAATGACCCTGTTTAGATAGAGTTTCCAAAGAGCAGCTGGTGAACTTGAACCACCGACCTTGCAGTTCAAATGACTTTGCAGTCTGATGCGTTAGCCCACATCATCACACCAGGGCTCCTAGTGTTTTATTTAAAACAAGGGCGAGAACAAATTGAACATTTACTCTATGTCAAGCAACGTACTCAGTGACTCCCATGGGTTTAATCCTCACAGCAACTCAAGGAGGGCGATTTGATCATGTCTCATTTTGCAGATCAGGAAAATTAAGGCTTGTTGCAATGCAGCAGTTGGTCAACCCAAAAGAGCACAACAGGGATGCTAGCTCAAGCAGTCTGAGCCAGAAGCATTTCACTGTGCCACCCCTCAAGGCCTTCCTGTAAAGGAAAATACAGTAGCTGATGTTTATTGAGGGCTGATTTTGTGCCAGGGGCAGCAGCACCATTCTTTTGCTTTCCCCGTCCCACATAAATTCTTAAAGAGCAAATACCATGATGCCTCAATTTTTATACCACCACACCCAAAAGGCAGCAGAATGCACTGCATCAGCAGGTGCTCAAACTGGGAATCCTAATTTGATAGACTCCATTCGCATTCCATCGATTTTACTCCACTCCTTGCTAATTCATTTCAGAGGTTTTCTAGCATGGGAGTTCTCTCTCCAAACAGACAGTATGAAGACAGACTTGAATCAGAAGATTCCCATTCAAGTGTCTTTGCCTGCAACTTACTTGGAGAGAGTCAAATTTTCTCCTGGAGCCAATCTCTGCCTCGGTTTCCCATGTGCATGCTAAGAGGAATAATCACAAGGCTCTCAGCTCCCATTCAGAGGCTACAGAAACAACAGGAGTGACAACAATATCCCTCATACATGTCAGCACTGGGAGAGCAGAAAAACAGATGCAGGCCTGATTATGTAAACTGATGAAGGAAGGAGGAGATCCACACTGGTGGGTAATCCACCTGCCACTGATAGGAGGATTGGGAACCCAGTCTGGGCATCCTGTATCTTTTTATCAAGAAATGTACCCTTCTAGTTAACTAACTGTACATCTTTTAGATTACTAGAATTGTAATTCCTCAATATTAAGTGGCAAGGGAAGTTTGGGAAGCAAGCACACAGTTTAACAATTAGCTACAGGTAAATTCAACTCTGATTAAACGAACATTTATGAAGCAATGAAAATGCTTTTGGCACTGTCCTAAGCATATAGAGTGCCATTTTATCCCTGCAAGTCCTGGTGTGGCGCTGTGGGTTAATGCAGTGGATTGCAAAGTCAGTTACAACTGCAAGGTCAGCAGTTCAAGCTCACCAGCTGCTCCTTGGAAACCCTACACAGGGTCGCTATGGGTTGGAACCGACTCGATGGCCCTTAACAACAACAACAAATCTTATGATGCGGTGCTATAGGATAAGCACTTGGCCACAAGGTCAGGTTGAACTGCAAGGGCAGTAGTTCAAGTCCCCTAGTTACGCCTTAGAAACCCTATACAGGGTAATTTTGGGTTTGAACTGACTGGAAGGCACTTAACAACAATAATAAATCTTACAATGTAGGCATTTCTGCCTGCAGGTTTCAGATACCGAGACTGCGATTCAGTCAGCTTCCTTCAAAGTGACTAAATTCCTTGGATATAAGTTGTTTGTGTGATTCAGAGGGAGTCGCTGGGTGGCACAAATGCTTAAGCACTCAACTGCTAAAGGAAAGATTGGTGTTTCAAATACACTCAGATGCACTTTGGAAGAAAGTCCTAATGACCTGTTTCTGAAAGCCTTGAAAACCCTTCTCTGCATATGTGGGGTTGCATGGGTCAGAATCCACTGGCCAGCAACTGGTAACTGGGATGATTCAACTAGATAATTGCTCAGCTCACTGCTCAGAGACTTCCCTGCCTTATTGTAGCAAACTACTGATGTTCCTGGAGTCCTGGTGTGGAGCTTTAGGAATAGCACTGGACTAACTAACCACAAGGTCGGCAGTTCAAACCCACCAGCAACTTCTTTGAAACCCTCTACAAGTGTCTCTATGAGTCACAACAGACTGGATGGAATGCAACAACAACAACAACAACAACAACAACAACAACATTGATGCTCCTGGCAGAGAAAACACCGTGCAGAAACTCCTCTGCCTGTTTCCCCAAACAGCAAAGAGCACTGACCAGGGAGTCAGGAGAATTCATCTCAGTTCTAGTCCAATCTTGTGAAAGCTAATCATTGTCACTTTTGGGTCCTCAAAGTCTTCATTTGTAAAATGAGGCAATTGTACTTTCAGAAGACAAGGGGAATGATGTTCTCTGTGGCAAGGAGCCCTTTGGCTCAAATGATCTTTAAGTTTCCAGGATCCAGGACGTCCAAGCTATATATTT